TGTTCCGAGAGGTCTCTTTTCGTTATCGGATACCATGACCTTCAGGCAGAGAGTGTGGAATCACATTATCCACTTGGAGGAACATTTATTTTGTGGCTATTTTCTCAAAACTGCTTTAGAAGTTGCCTCTGAGATACTCCAGACGTCTGTCTCAGCCTATGACCTATTCGGCCAACCATCCATTTGGTTGTTACGAAATGACTTTGTTTTGGACTATCCCAAACCTGTGATGCCCAACATGATCTTCATTGGCGGCATCAACTGCCACCCGGGAAAGCCACTGTCACAGGTGAGTTACCTCTGGTTTCCCAGGCTCAGAATAGGGTGGCTTGCAGAGGAATGAAAGCAAACATGCCTCACTGAACCATGATTCGTAATTTAAATTAGTTACATTTGGACTTCCTTTCTGGTTCAATGGATTATTTTGTGTCAGTTCTTTTAACTGTGTTAGCAAATTTTATAACACTGTCCCCTTTGATACTCATATGTATTCAACTGAGTTAATTGTATTTAATTTCCAGGCTGCATTTTTTAATACTGTTTTGGAAAGAATACTGAAAAATATAGTAAGAAATGAAACTTTTATTTATTTATTTTTTAAATCAATTTTTATTGTTCATATTATTACAAAAGTTCCTCATTTTTTCCACCCTCCACCAGGTTCCCACCCCACCTTCTGCCCTTTCCCCACCCCCCATTGTCTCATCCATAGGTGCACAGTTTATGTTAACTTTCCTTTTTTTAATCTAATGCAACCCCCTTAGGAAAATGCTCTTAGCAGTTTCGTATGTATCTTATCCAAATTTTTCTGAAGTTATTTTAGATATATGCCTATAGCTAATGTAAATTCTTACACTCATTTTATGAAAATGAAGTCTAGTATCAGACTGGACATACTGTTTTTTATCTTTTTCACTTGCCTATCATGGACCTTTTTACAGCCATTACATACAAATGTGTGACATTTAAAAAAAATATTTTTATTGATTTTACACAGAGAGGAATTGAGAGGGATAGAGAGTTAGAAACGTCGATGAGAGAGAAACATTGACCAGCTGCCTCTTGCACACCCTCCCACTGGGGCCCCCAACCAAGGTACATGCCCCTGACTGGAATCAGGCCGCAGTCCGACGCTCTATCCACTGAGCCAAACCAGTTTCGGCAAATGTGTGACATTCTTTTTAAGAGTCGCGTAGGATTCTTTGGATGCCCTGTTGTTCATTCAAGTAAGCAATATTGATTGATGGTTATTATTTTTTTTTACTTTTCCCTTTTATAAATAAGACTGTGCTAACCATTTAAAAATAAGTTCTTTATATTCACATATTTCCATAATCTTGCTCTTACTATTGTAGGCCAAGAATCCTCAGGAGTAGTGTTGCTAGGTCTAATGCTCTGCACATATTACACATGCAACAAATGGCTTTCAATGTGATGAACAACCTTATACTTGGGTCAACAGTATATGAAAGTTCTAGTTTTCTTCCATACTGTCTCCAGCTTCAGATGTGTTCCAACTTTTAAATATTTTGGTAAAAAAATTTTACATAGCTGCTTCAATTTTCATAGATATACTAGAGGCCTGGTGCACGAAATTCATGCACAGGGATGGGGGAGGTGTACTTCAGCCAAGCCTGCACCCTCTCCAATCTGGGACTCCTCAAGGGATGTCCAACTCCCCGTTTATGAGGATAGGGCCTAAACGGGCAGTCGGACATCCCTTTTACAATCCAGAACTTCTGGCTCCCAACTGCTCACCTTCCTACCTTCCTGATTGCTCCTGCAAGCCTGATTGATGCCTAACTGCTCCCCTGCCAGCCTGGTTGCCCCTAACTGCTCTTCCCTGAAGGCCCAGTCATCCCCAACTTCCCTCCTCTGCTGGCCTGGTCACCCCCAATTGCCCTCCCTTGCAACCCTGATCTCTCCCAACTGGCCTCTCCTGCTGGCCATCTTGTGGTGGCCATCTTGTGTCCATATGGGGGCAGTCATCTTTGAACACATGGGGGCAGCCATCTTGTGTGTTGGAGTGATAGTCAATTTGCATATAACTCTTTTATTATATAGGATTGGTCATTTGCATTTACTCTTCTGTGAATTATGTATTCAGATTTTTTTTTTTGTATTCACATTATTTAGCCATGGTTTTGAGGGCTCTTTGCCTTTTTAATACCTAATTATTATAAGTTTCTTTAGTATTAGGAACATTAACACTTAGCTTTTTACGTATGTTGCAAACATTTTTTCCTGGGCTATTCTTCCTCTTTTCTCATACAGGATTTTCATTTTGGAGGAGTCGATCTGGTTAACCTTTCCTTTAATGGTTTCTGGATATCAATTTGTTTAAGTTCTTCCAAGCCTGGGATATATAAACAAACGTATTTTCCATACTGTGTCTTAATGTCTTTAATTCCTTCATGTGAATAGTTACTTTTTTTTTTTTTTTTTACAATGAGAACTTTACACAGAAGTATACAGATCTAACTTTATTATTTTTCTAAATGAATTGTTCATTGTCCTAACATAATTTAATAAAATATTCCACTCTTCATCTGTTGAATTGAAAGGCATCTTTATTATATTTTAAATTTCCATATTTATTTGCATTTGCTTTTGAACTCTCAGTTTTAGAGAGAATGGTCTGTGAGGAATCCTGTTACAAGTGACTGAGCGGACTTTTAGGAATACGAGGGTCCATTGTTTGGTTTTGAATAGTTTTCTCTGTGCTGTGTTGGGACAGCTTCTATCTTAGGGGCCCTTGATTTTCATAAAAGTTTTGCTACATAAAACAGCCTGGCCTTTGCATATTCCAGCACAATTATTTCCAATCATCACAATATTAACATTAACCATAAGATCAGGCTCTAAAAAAAAAAAAAATCAATTGGTTGCCTCCTGCACACCACACCCCCTACTGGATTGAGCCCCAAACTGAGGCATGTGCCCTGACTGGGAATCGAAAGAGCAACTCTTCAGTGCACAGAATAATGCCAACCAACTGATCCACGTGGGCTGGGGCAGGCATTCTAATGTTTAAAAATTGAGCTAGAAGTCATATCATAACTCTCATCCTTTACAATGCAGTGGTCTTTGGTATATTCATGAACACAAGCAACCATCACCATTCTCTAATTCAGCGGTTCTCAACCTGTAGGTTGGGACCCCTTTGGGGGTCAAACAACCCTTTCACAGGGTCTCATAAGATATCCTCATATCAGATATTTACATTACGATTCATAACAGTAGCAAAATTACAGTTATGAAGTAGCAACAAAAATAATTTTATGGTTGGGGGGATCACCACAACATGAGGAACTGTATATTAGAGGGTTGCGGCATTAGGAAGGTTGAGAACCACCGCTCTAATTCCAGAGCATTTTCCCCACTCCGAAATGAAATCCCATGCCCACTGACAGTCACTCCCCCTGACAATCTCCAGATGCACTGCTCTTAGAAAGAGCTTGCTGGGCTGTGCTTGCCCTGAGGAGCGGACCTGCACTGTGCTCCCTTTGTGACCATCTGGGAGTCTTATTGTTGTTTAGATGGACCCAAACCAGAGTGCTGCCACCTTCTTGCCCTGATCACTCCCCTGAAGAATGCAATAAAACTCTGTTTCCTGTGGTTGCCATTCTGGCAGGTGTGAGGAGATAACCTCATTGTAGTTTAACTTGGCTGCAATGAATGTGCATCTTGGCTGTGTTCTTGGGCCCAGCCCTGTGCTTGCGTGATCCTTTCTATCCTCTTCCTCAGGCTTTTTCTCCCTTCCCTACTCTGGCACACTTCCTGAGCCAACAGGCATGGGTTAGGAGAGCACTTTGCGTGCCACTTCAGCTGTGCGTGACTAGCTGTGGGCGAGTCTGTTCTAGCCACCCTAGAAACTGCCTCTCCCTTGGACAGTCTGGTTCCCTCGCCCTCTGGGACCTTCCTCAGCAATGTGACAAATCTGGCAGGACAAACATGACCCTCTCCCTGGGTCTCGGTTGGAAATCCTGAAGATCAGGAGATGGGTCTCACCCCTGGCAGGTGGCAGAGCTAAAAGGAGACACAGGCTTTCCAACTCCTACTTCAGGCTCTCACTGCATGCTGTTTAGACTTATACTTCTCAGACTTTAATTTCCTAAAGGGAAGGGGCAGATTCCATGCTCATAGTGTCAATGACCAGCTTTTCTAAAAAAAAATAAAAAAATAAAAAAATAAAGCACGTAGTTCTTTACATGTTCTATTTCTTGGATGAATCCTCACAACTGAAAAAAACAAAAGAGAAATTGAAATGTGATACAAATCAAAAGCGAGTCCATTCATTCAGCAAACTTGGATCGAGTGCCTGTTGTATGCAGGCACTGTTTTGGACACTGGGCATAAAGTAAAGTTCTCTTGTTCTAGGTGGGGGAGACGCATATTAAATAAGTAACAGGTTAGGTGATGGCAGAAGGGATGAATCTAAACGAGGGGGGAGATGGGACTTCTGAGTGATGGGCCTTGTGATAATGGGGTCATCAGAGAAGCTTTCTTTGAGATGGCACTGAGTGAATCTGGAATGAAGGGAAGGAGCAGCCATGTGGATTTGCAGGGAAGATTCAACACCTTGGTTTTTATCACTGTCTGGAACTGAGGTTGGCCAACTGCAGCCCTCAGGTCGAATCTAACCTGCTTCCTGTTCTTATGAACAGAAGTGATTGGAACACAGCCATGCCCATTTGTTTAGTGTTGCCTATGGTTGTTCTCCTGGTACAACAGCAGAACCCAGAAGACCAGGTGGCTCACAGCATCAGCAATATGTACTATTTATGCCTTTTATTTTTAAAATATATTTTATTGAGTTTTTACAGAGAGGAAGAGAGAGGGATAGAAAGTCAGAAACATTGATCAGCTGCCTCTTGCACACCCCCCACTGGGAATGTGCCCGCAACCAAGGTACATGCCCCTGACTGGAATCGAACCTGGAACCTTTCAGTTTGCAGGCCGACGCTCCATCCACTGAGCCAAACCGGTTTTGGCTATTTATGCCTTTTAAAAAAAGTAATTGCCCACCCTTGATATAGAACAGCGATTCTCAAAGGGTGTTCTGGAAACCTTGGGGATCCCGAGACCTTTCAGGGGTCTGCAAGGTCAAACTGTTTCCTTAATAGTACAAAGACTATTAAGTTTTAGTTTGCATTTTCCACTCTCCTTTTCTCATGGTGGTGCTGGGGAGTTTTCACAAGACTTCACAATGTGCAAAAACCACAGCAGAGCAAGTGCACAGTGGACAGGAGAGTCCCTCTCCTCCAGTCCGACATTAAAGGGACTTGCAACAAAGGTAAAATGACGTCACTCTTCTGACTACTTTTTCTCGTTTGTTTGGAGAAATTTATGTTTATTTTCTCAGAAAAGATGTCAACTTGCAAGGGGTTTAATCTTGTTATCTCAAATTAATGAGGACGTACTTTTTGAATGGGTCAGTTTTAATTTCTGAAACAGCTTATTTGAACACATGTTGCCCACATAAACAAATGTTTTGGAGGTCTTCATGCACTGAGAGTAAAAAAGAAGTCCTGAGGCCAAAAGATTGAGAAAAGCTGATCTAGAAGTAGCCAATTCTATTTTTTTTTTTTTCTTTTCTGAAGCTGCATAAGTTACCCAAAAGTGTCCTTTCGGAGGCAGGCAGCTTCCGTTTCTCATTGGTAGAAGGATGGTCAGCCTGGGCTTTGTATTGCATGAGATGAAGGGTGAGTGTTAAGGTTGAATTGTGTTCCCCCAAAAAGTGTTATTGAAGTCCTAACGCCCAATACCTTACAATGTGACCTTATTTGGAAATACAGTCTTTGCAGATGTAATTAGTTAAATTGAATGAGGTCATTAGGGTAGGCCTTAGTCCAACATGACCGGTGTCTTTATAGAAGGGGAAATTTGGACCCCGGGAGGGACACAGGGAGAACCCTGTGTGGCGGTGAAGGCAGAGATGGGCTGATACTCTACAAACTCAGGAACAACAAAGATGGCCTGCACACCACCAGAAGCCAGAGCAAGGTTGGAACAGACCCCCACGCAGGCCTCAGAAGAACCAGGAACCAGTCCTGCTGACACCTTGACCTCAGACCGCCAGCCTCCAGACTATGGGAATGAAGCTCTGTTTTTCAGGCCACCACAGTGTGGTGCTTTGTTACAGTGGCCCAAGGAAATGAAGACAATGGGGAATTGTTTTAGAAGCTGAACATGTCCGGGACCCCTGTGCTGGAGCCACCTTCTTTCAACTGCTGGCTGGATGATTTGCCTCCATCAAGTGCCCTGTCACCTGACACCTCCCAAGCATGTCATATTTCTACATTTTCTTTTCTTCATTTCTGCCTCCTCTTCTGTCCCCTTCATTCCTCCTATGGTTATTGTATTCACAGTGAAGGGTCATGAGATGTGTTAGGAGCACTTTTTGGCCCCTCACAGGGTCTGACCAGACCCAGAGGGAGCCCTTCCAAGGGAATTGCACTCAGCTCATTCTCACCACCCCTGGGGGGAGGGACTGATGCAACCTCCAGCTGGCAGGTGCAGCAATGCAGGGGAAGGGCGGTGAGGTTGCACAGCTTGGTAGGGGCAGGCTGGCTCCAAAATTCATGCTCTTAACTGCAAAGTGAGATGTGTGGTGCCAGAGCACATATGTTAGGATTAGATTCTATCTTCTGATATAACAAAACTCTCCAATAGCAGCGGTGGAGCAGCGCATGGTGGGAAGTTCTATTAGACTTCTCTGTGCCTTCCTTTTGGCCACTGCTGTGGTAGCCAGGATTTGGAGTGAGCACCTCCATTGTGTTGTTCAAACCATGAATTTACATCTGTTCACACTTCCTTTCCACTATGAGGAGAGTTGACAAGGAAGCAGAGCAGCATGGACAGCTACTCATCTGTGAACATGGTCATCCCTGATGCTGTGGAGTCCTGGAGGGAGGGTGGGGCTGCGGCGGGCCTCCTGGGGCCTGTTTAGGTTGTCCTCCAACCGGAGAGACAGGTTGGTGCAGACAAAAAGAACTAAATCCAGAAGCTCAGGCAAAAGCTAAGAAGCTTAGTTGGCTCAAGTTACCTGTGTGCTTAGAAATAGTTAAATATTAATTTAGGTTCTTGCATATTGAAGGGCAAAACTCAGAGCACAGAGCGATAGGGCAGGTAGTCAGTGTAGGGGAAATAGCCAGGAGCCCTTTTACTCTTGCTGCTATCTGCACTCCACGAGGATGGCCTGCCTCCCCCGTGTGGTCCGGGGCGTTTCTGCAGGGGTTTTACTCTTAGGGCTTTGGGGTGTGGCTCTCGGTGACAAGCTGTTGGTGGTTCCGCAGGATGGAAGCCACTGGCTCAGTATGAAGGACATAGTTGAGGTGCTTAGTGACAGGGGCCATGACATCGTGGTGCTGGTGCCAGAAGTCAATTTGCTTCTGAAAGAGTCCAAACACTACACCAGGAAAATCTATGCGGTGCCCTACAACCAGGAAGAGCTACAGAGACGCTTCCGTACCTTTGGGAACCGGCACTTTGCTGAGAGGTCGCTCCTGGCCGCTCCCCTGGTGGAGTACAGGAATGTTATGGTCGTCGTTGACCTGTGCTTCATCAGCTGCCAGAGCCTCCTGAGGGACTCGGCCACCCTGACCTTCCTCCGGGAGAGCAAGTTCGACGTCCTGTTCACAGACCCGGCCATGCCCTGCGGGGTGATCCTGGCCGAGTACCTGGGCTTGCCCTCCGTGTACCTCTTCAGGGGCTTCCCGTGTGCCCTGGAACATACGTTCAGCCGAAGCCCGAACCCTGTGTCCTACATCCCCAGGTGCTACACCCAGTTCTCAGACCGGATGACTTTCTCCCAGCGGGTGGCCAACTTCCTCGTTAATCATTTGGAGAACCTTCTGTTTCACTGTCTGTATTCAAAGTATGAAGACCTCGCATCAGACCTCCTCAAGAGACAGGTGCACTTACCCACCTTATATCAGAAGGGCTCCATTTGGCTCTTGAGATATGACTTTGTGTTCGAGTATCCCAGACCAGTCCTGCCCAACATGGTCTTCATTGGAGGGACCAACTGTAAGAAGAAGGGGGTCCTGTCTCAGGTGGGTGGCTTTATTTCTTTGTGACTGCCCCATTTCTTCACTCTCTGCTTCCCTCACTGGTCTGGCTACTCCTCTGACTCTCACCTGGGAGGGCCATCTGAAGGAAGGGATGCCAGGCTCGGAGGAGGGGGTGGAGGATACCTGAGGCTGAGGGTTTGAATGAGATAGCACTCATGCCTGGCAACAGCAGCAGTTATCTTCACCTGGGTAACCTGGGGATAGTCATGGAATGAGCCTTAGAATTTTCCAGGCCAAATCCTGCACTTACCTGTTGAAGAAACAGGTGAAGTCCAACAGGACACAGCTAAGAGGGTAGTCCAGGTCAAAACCCGTTCTTCCAACTCTATGTCATGCTTTTTTCCCTGGTCCCTAAACCAGGGGTTAGCAAACTATAGTCGGTGTACCAAATGGACGTCAGCCCACAGCCTGTTGCTATATGGTTCAGAACTAAGAATGATTTTTATATTTTAAAAATGATGTTAAAAACAATCAGAACTAACCAGGCCAGCAGGGGAGGGCAGTTGGGGGTGACTAGGCCGGCAGGGGAGAGCAGTTAGGGGCAGTCGGACCAGCAGGGGAGCAGTCAGGTGTCAATCAGGCTGGCAGGGGAGTGGTTAGGGGGTGATCAGGCTGTCAGGCAGAAGTGGTTAGGGGCAATTAGGCAGGTGAGTAGTTGGAAGCCAGTAGACCTGGATTGTGAGAGGGATATCCAACTGCCCATTTAGGCCCAATCCCATTAGGCAGTCAGATATCCCTTAAGGGGTCCCAGATTGAGAGGGTGCAGGCTGGGCTAAGAGACGCCCTCCCCAATCCCTGCATGAATTTCATGCACCGGGCCTCTAGTTTCTAATAATTACACATACAACTTGGTACAGAATGCTCTCTGTGCTGACACATAGGGACTATCAACTGAGACACAGATGAAAGCCAAGCACAGGCAAAGCTTCAAGGCCCAAAAAGCACACTCACTACAGCCTGTTTTTTCAACATGACTAAATATAACTTTAAAAAAATATATATTTTATTGTTTTTTTTACAGAGAGGAAGGGAGAGGGATAGAGAGTTAGAAACATCAATGGAGAGAAAAACCAATCAGCTGCCTCCTGCACACTCTCTACTGGGTATGTGCCCACAACCAAGGTACATACCCTTGACCGGAATTGAACCTGGGACTCTTGAGTCTGCAGGCCAAAGCTCTATCCACTGAGCCAAACCAGTTAGGGCTACAACTTTTTAATTTTACTTTTGCAAAAATATATGGTTGGTACCAAGGTATAAAAATGATATTTTTCACTGAAACCGGTTTGGCTCAGTGGTAGAGCGTCAGTCTGCGGACTGAAAGGTCCCAGGTTCGATTCTGGTCAAGGACATGTACATTGGTTGCGGGCACATCCCTGGTAGGGGGTGTGCAAGAGGCAGCTGGTCGATGTTTCTAGCTCTCTATCTCTCTCCCTTCCTCTCTGTAAAATATCAATAAAATATATTTTAAAAAATGATATTTTTCCTTCTTATAGCAAATGATTCTTTTACACTTTGGATTATTAATTAAATTTTATTGACATACGAGGTTTCTGTATCATGCTCTGTGCTTCCTGGAGCTTGTCCAATTATGCTCATCACCCTTGTAACTACTGTTTACCATATTTACAGAGATATTAGCAGATATAAAAGAAGGTTGATAAGGGTCTTTGGGGCTTCTTTGAGGCTTTCTTTCCGATGAAAAAACAATGCATTGAAAAAAAGAATTCTAGTATGAAAGTTAGAGTGATCTGAAGCTTTTCAAAGGTGTAAATATTCAAATAACATTTAAAAAAAACCAAACTCACAAATTTTTATTTTCCAAAGCCCTCTTTCCTCATGTGCCAGAGGGAATCTACAAACAATTGCCTTAGGTCAGAGGTCAACACATAAGTTCTGATTGTTTTTAACTGCCCTCCCTTTCAGGCCTGGTCCCTCCCAACTGCCATCCCCTGCCGGCCATCTTGTAGTGGCTATCTTGTGTCCACATGGAGATGACCATCTTGTGTGTTGGAGTGATGGTCAATTTGTATATTACCTCTTTATTAGATAAGATAGATAGGATTAAGTTACAGTGATCAAAATCAGTTTCACTGGTCAAATACAGTAATTGAGTCATTTCAACACTATGAATAGGTGCACACTTTGAAATAATGAGAACAGGAGTCATGTAGACATGGCGGGGCACAGCGTTGTGAAGGGACTAAATGCCACTGAATTGTTCACATTAACATATCGATAATTTGTTTTGTTGTATGGCCTCATCCAAGATATATTTTTAAAAAGAAGATACATCAGATGCCTTATTTATAGCTAAAACAACAACAACAACAACATCTCGACACTCCTTAGTAGGAAAATATATGATCAGGCAATACATAAACAACACAAGTGGCCAATAAAAGTTTGAAAAGCCATTTAACTTCAGAAATAATCTGAGAACTTCAAATTCATAAACGATGAAATTTGATTTCACATATCAAGTGACCTGTTGTATAGGTAACTATTGGCCTGATTTCAAACACATACTCATATTTCTTTCAAATATGTGCAAAGCCTTTTGGGAACCAGTGCTTGGCGAACATTCCTTGCATAACACTGAGTCACAATCTGGGAAAGGGTACCTGTCCTCACGGCACCCTTTGCACTCCCAGCCTTGCCTGTGTGGGGGAGCACAAGATCTCTTCCCACTTATGCCCAGGTTAGTGTGACTTTGACCACAGTTCCACCAGCCTCCTATGCCCAAGGAGGGACTCAGCCATCTCCAAGGCCCTGGGCATTTTTTGCCCAAGATGTCTCGGAGAAGTCCCTGAATCACCCAGCAGGTGGTTCCCACTGGGAGCCCCTCAGAGGCGAGGCCCTGGGCAGCCCTGGATGTTCTGAAGCCCCTTATGCCATCCAGGGCCTCCTCACCAGCCCCTTGCATCTTATCATCTGGCCCCCGAGCAGTTCTACCTGTGCCACATTCTCACAGGTGCCTTTCCCTCTGCTTCCAGAAGCTCCAGGCCAGGCCAGATCCTGGGACACTCAATATTGGTTGAAACTTTCTGTGAAGTGATAAAAGCAATGTGGTTTTCTTGCAACATTCTTTGGGAAGCATCTCCCCAGAAAACTATATCCAAATGACTGAGTACTAGCTCTTTTGTTCCCAAGTTTTCTTCTCTTGAGTTCTGGAATCATCTAGGTCAGGGGTAGGAAAACTTTTTTCTGCTAAGGACCATTTCAATATTCATAACATAATTCAAGGGCCATACAAAATTATCAACTTGAAAATCAGCCAGCTATATTTGGTTAAACATATAATTAACTCACTGCTAATGTTTTGGCAGAGCCAGGCCAAACGTTTCTTAGGCCTTATACAACCTGCAATTGGAAGTTCTCCCCCTAATCTAAATAATGGTTCTCAAATGGGGGTAAATTTGACCCTTTCTGGATAATGTCTGGAGACATTTTTGGTGTCACAATTAGGGGGTGACCCTGTCAACTAACTAGTAGGTAAAATCCAGGGATGCTGTTAAAAATCCTACAAAGCACAAGAAATACCCACCCACTTATTCCCAACAAAGAATTACCTGGCCAAAATGTCAATAGTGCTGAAATTGAGCAATGCTGGTCTGAACAAATCCCAAGTGAGTATCAGTCACTTCTATCCAGCAGGGTCCAGGCTGGGTTGGGAGGGGGCAGCAAGCATCCTTTGCCCATCCCTGAACTATCATTTGCCCCCTTACAGGGGTCTCTGCAGGCAATAAACACTCAGGCTGCAACTTCAACATTTATTGGTTGAGCTGAGGATTGAATTCTAAGCAAGTAAGGGGAACCAAACACTAAAATGCTGAGTCATTCTTAACAGGCACTTTTAAAAAATACATGACTTAGGCCATTGTCTGAAATTCCTATAATGGTTTGCTTCTCTTTCCAATCAATGTGTTTACCTTTATGACTGGTTATCTTGGAGATGAATAGACCTGTGGAACATTTTGATAGCACTATTTCTCTCACTGAGTAATTATCCATAGAGTGGCTAAATGCTAGAGTGAGTCAAGGTTTAAAAACCAATATTCAACATGAGTCTCTGAAAAGCTAGAAACTTAGTTGGATAATAATTTAGATAATTTGAGAAGAATGTAATTAAGTAGATTATTTTATACTACTTGCCGGGTGTACAAGATTCATGCATGGGGTGAGGAAGGGGGAGGGGTGTCCCTCAGCCTGGCCTGCACCTTCTCCAATCTGGGACCCCTTGAAGGATGTCCTACTGCTGGTTTACAAGAATTGGGCCTAAACCAGCAGTTGGACATCCCTCTCGCAATCCAGGACTGCTGGCTCCTAGCCGCTCAACTGCCTGCCTGCCTGATTGTCCCTAACCATTCTGCCTGCAGCCTGCTCATCCCCAACTGCCCCCCGTGCCAGTTTGCTTACCCCAACTGCCCCCTACCCCCCTACCCCCCGCTGGCCTGCTTGCCCCCAACTGCCCCCCCTGCTGACCTGCTCACCCCCACTTTTCCACTCCAAACTGCGCCCCCCTGTCCTGATTACCCCCAGCTGACACCCACTGATGGCCTGCTTGCCCCCAACTTGCCGATCTGCTGGTCTGCTCACCCCCAACTGCCTCTTCCCACCCCTGATGGCCTGATCACCCCCAACTGCCGTCCCATTCTGGCCTGAACACCTACAACTGCCCTCTCCTCTTGGTCTCTAACCACCTCTACCTTGGCCCCACAACCATGGCTTTGTCCAGGAGAATGCCCAGAAGGTCTCTTAGTGTAATTAGCATATTACCCTTTTATTAGTATAGATAGAGGCCTGGTGCAGAGGTGGGGATTGGCTGGTTTGCCCTGAAGGGTGCCCCGGATCAGGGTGGGGATTCCCTTGGGGAATGGGGCAGCCTCGGTGAGGGGGTCTTTGGTGGTTTTCAGGCTGGCCAAGCCCCCATGAAGTGAGGATCCTTGCTGGGGATGTGTGGCCAGCCTGGGTGAGGGGCTTTTGTCTGTTTTCAGGCTGGCCACACCCCCTTTAGGGTAGCCATGACCCTATGGGGTGAGGGTCCCTGCTGGGGTGCCTAGCCAGCCTGGGTAAGGGGCTGATGACTGTTTACAGGCTGACCATACCTCCCAGTAGGGACTCTTACTCCATGGGGGTGTGGCCAGCCTGGGTGAAGGGCTGAGGGCCATTTTCAGGCTGGACACACCCCCTTCAGGGTGGGGGTCCCCACTGCTGTGTCTGGCCAGTCTGGGTGAGGGGCTGATGGTTGTTTGCATGCTGGCCACATCCTCCAGCAATCCAGGCTCCCAGCCACTCCTTGAGTGGAGGCCAGGGAGGGCTGGAAGCTTGGCTTCCTCCATTGCCAGGGACAACCAAAGCCTCCTGCTCCCTTCAGCTTTGTGGCAGCCACTATCTTTGTTGGGTTAATTTGCATACTTGCTCCTGATTGGCTGGTGGGCATAGCAGAGGGATGGTCAATTTGCATGCATTTCTTTTATTATACTTTAAAACCATACAATGCATTTAAAGTTTACAATTCAATGATTTTTAATATATTCACAGAGCTGTGCAATCATCACCACAATCAGTTTTAGAACATTTTCAATCATCCACAAAAAAAACACACCTGTAATTATCAGTTACTCCCCATTTTCTCCTCTCCCCAGCCTCTGGCAACAACTAAGCAACTTTCTGTCTCCATGAATTTGCCTATTCTGATCATTTAATACAAAATGAATCATATAATAATGTGATTGACTTTTTACACTTAGCATAATGCTTTCCATAAGGGTGATTCATATTATAACATTTTTATTGTTGAATGATATTTTGTCCCATTAGCATAA